GAGTGGTGCGGTCACCCTAAGTGACAGACCTAAAGTATCCGGGATTCAGGCATCTTCCCTGGCTTGTACATTTTTGGTGATGCGCCCTGGAGGTATCAGACTATTTTAAACAACTTTTCCCCGCTTTTCAAACACTTATTCCGAGTTTTAGACAGTCATTTTGCACGAAATCATTTAACATTGACGGTCTCCTGAAAAAGCACATATTCTGTGCATTTTCAGGAGAGCGTCTATGTTAAATGATTTCGTGCAAAATGACTGTCTAAAACTCTCTTCCAGACATTTAAAAATACTTTCCCCGACCATTTAAACATTATTTCTGGCTTGTAAAGTGCAGTTATGCGCCCTGGAGATATTGCACTATTTACAAAATGTAGCACTCTGTTTATTTCACACCTCCAGGAGAGACCAGGGGGAAATCACCTCTCTCTGCCCCCTCACAGAGCCCCAAGGACGGACTAATTACCTCCAGCATGTCCCCATAACAGTGGGGACTCTGTTTCTTTCACAGCTCCAGCAGAGACCAGGGGAAAATCACCTCTCTCTGCCCCCTCACAGAGCCCCAAGGACGGACTAATTACCTCCAGCATGGGCCCCCTAACAGTGGGACTCTGCACCTCCAGCAGAGACCAGGGGGAAATCACCTCTTTTTGCCCGCTCACAGAGCCCCAAGGACGGACTAATTACCTCCAGCATGTCCCCATAACAGTGGGACTCTGTTTCTTTCACAGCTCCAGCAGAGACCAGGGGAAAATCACCTCTCTCTGCCCCCTCACAGAGCCCCAAGGACGGACTAATTACCTCCAGCATGTCCCCATAACAGTGGGACTCTGTTTCTTTCACAGCTCCAGCAGAGACCAGGGGAAAATCACCTCTCTCTGCCCCCTCACAGAGCCCCAAGGACGGACTAATTACCTCCAGCATGGGCCCCTAACAGTGGGACTCTGCACCTCCAGCAGAGACCAGGGGGAAATCACCCTCTTTTTGCCCGCTCACAGAGCACCGAAGGACGGACTAGAGACCTCCAGCACCCAGTCCCTAACAGGGGGACTCTGTTTATTTCACACCTCCAGGGCGGAGACCGGGAAAATCACCTCTCTCTGCCCGCTCACAGAGCCCCAAGGACGGACCTAATTACCTCCAGCATGGGCCCCTAACAGTGGGACTCTGCACCTCCAGCAGAGACCAGGGGGAAATCACCTCTCTCTGCCCCCTCACAGAGCCCCAAGGACGGACTAATTACCTCCAGCATGTCCCCATAACAGTGGGACTCTGTTTCTTTCACAGCTCCAGCAGAGACCAGGGGAAAATCACCTCTCTCTGCCCCCTCACAGAGCCCCAAGGACGGACTAATTACCTCCAGCATGTCCCCATAACAGTGGGACTCTGTTTCTTTCACAGCTCCAGCAGAGACCAGGGGGAAATCACCTCTCTCTGCCCGCTCACAGAGCCCCAAGGACGGACTAATTACCTCCAGCATGGGCCCCTAACAGTGGGACTCTGCACCTCCAGCAGAGACCAGGGGGAAATCACCTCTTTTTGCCCGCTCACAGAGCACCGAAGGACGGACTAGAGACCTCCAGCACCAGTCCCTAACAGGGGGACTCTGTTTATTTCACACCTCCAGGGCGGAGACCGGGAAAATCACCTCTCATTGCCCGCTCACAGAGCCCCGAAGGACGGACTAATTACCTCCAGCATGGGCCCCTAACAGTGGGACTCTGCACCTCCAGCAGAGACCAGGGGGAAATCACCTCTTTTTGCCCGCTCACAGAGCCCCAAGGACGGACTAATTACCTCCAGCATGGGCCCCTAACAGTGGGACCTCCATAACCTTGCACACCCTGAGTCCCCGGGCCCCCACAGTTAAGCACTCCCCCACGGACTAAACACAGGTATTCACACCCACCAGAACCTCGTGCCCCTGGTGACCTTACAAGGGGGTGGTTTTATGGTGCTTCTGTGTCCGCCCATCAGCATCCATATTGGGCCTTCTTCACGGCATCACCCCCCCTTCTGTGGAGGGTATTCTCGTGCCCCTGGTGACCTTACAAGGGGGTGGTTTTATGGTGCTTCTGTGTCCGCCCATCAGCATCCATATTGGGCCTTCTTCACGGCATCACCCCCCCTTCTGTGGAGGGTATTCTCGTGCCCCTGGTGACCTTACAAGGGGGTGGTTTTATGGTGCTTCTGTGTCCGCCCATCAGCATCCATATTGGGCCTTCTTCACGGCATCACCCCCCCTTCTGTGGAGGGTATTCTCGTGCCCCTGGTGACCTTACAAGGGGGTGGTTTTATGGTGCTTCTGTGTCCGCCCATCAGCATCCATATTCGGCTTTCTTCACGGCATCACCCCCCCTTCTGGGCTGGAGGTTCAAACACTTTAACTTTTGTTCACCCTCCTCTGGCTTACACCTCCTCCGCCAACACTTGAGCGCTCATCACAGGGTTCAGCACCAAGGAGAGTGCCTCCCCGGTGCTGATGGAAAGTGGCACTTTTTCTGCCCCTGGTAATCATCAAGGTTATTGTTTTTTTTTTTTTTTTATTTTATTTGAACAAAAAACACAGTTGACAGTACAGAGAGGCTAAAACATAAACTATTTACACGTACTACTGCTACTATAACAGTACTACTAAATTTCTTAACCTACGTTTTAAAGTGCAGTTATGCGCCCTGGAGGTGTTGCACTATTAACAAAATGTATGCCCAGGATTCTGGCACCTTTCCTGGCTTGTAAAGTGCAGTTATGCGCCCTGGAGATATTGTACTATTTACAAAATGTATACACAGGATTATAATAATAATTATATACACGGTATACATATTCACAATGTTTAGCGGGATTCAGGGGACCAAATTAGGCGTCTAATTCTCACGGTGCACCAGGGCAAACAGGTTGAGTCCACGGCCCCTGCCCCATCATCAGGAGTGTCAACCAGCCCCGGTCCCGACTTCATTGGCCTCTTTCCCTCCCGCTTCCGCTTCCGCTGCTGCTGCCGCTCCAATGACCCATCAGGTGAAGATGATAGAGTTGTACTGTTATAGCAGCCCTCTTCGGAGGTCTCCCCATCTGACAGCGGTAGACATCCTTCTGATGATGATGCAGCTGCTGCCGCATCTGATGACGCCCTGAACATGGAGCGGATTCTCAATGCCTCCTTTATACCTGGCGCATTCGCGTAGAACCGGTCCGCCGTGGTTACGTCGTGACACATAAACCTGGCGAGAATCGACCGGCTTTCTGGATCTTGGTGATGCTTGATATTGTCAGCCAGGGCAGTGCGCAGGATTGTGAAGGTGACGGCTGTTTCTAGCCCAGCATCAGCCCATGCCCTCTTCAAGTGAGCGTTCAGGTTCTTGGAGGCCCGATTCCCCCTTGTGAAAAGGAAGAATTCATTCTGAGGACCCAGCAATGCCTCTTTAATCCCCATCCACCGCATGACCCAGCTAAACTCCTCTACTGTAAGCGCCAGCTGTGCTTCGCCATATGTCTTGGCCGTCTTGTGATCCTGCACATGGATGATGTAGCCCTCAGCAGTTCCCCTTATGGCTGCCTCTAAGACCTCACTGTTTTTCATGTTTGCGTACACGCCCGTACGGTGGCCATACAGGAGGCTCCAATGGAGGGTGAGATAGCCATAGAGAAGCTTCTGGGTGGTTGAGGTCGGCGTGCCGGCCATCAGGTCGAGGAGCTCCGGGATGCGCTTCTCAGCGGCCGCCATGGCGGCGAGAAGCTCCGCCTGGCTCGGCAGACGATCCAGTTTGTTCCTCTTCACCTTAAACTGATGTAGAGTGACTGCCTTATTCAAGTGTTTCATGTTGGCTTTCACCTCTCTCATTATGTGGGTCATATCAGACTGGGTGAGCTTGCACCCCCGGGGCTTTGACTCAGACATGTACCCCATGAACTGGTGCACATTCTTCAGGAAGAACTCTGATGTTGTGACTGCCCGGCCCGGCTTTACAATATACTCGCTCCAGCCACGGATCATCTTCATGTTTCTTAGGAACAGCCAGTCTGACAGGCGGTTAACACCATGGGCCATGTATACTATGAAGTTCTTTATCCGGCTGATCTTCGACACAACATTGTCTTTCTGTTTTACTGTCGGAGCGACACCCAAACAGTGATCCAAGTATGTCTGAAGGTACGCCTCCATGCTTCTAGGCAACGTGATTTCACGCATGGTATTCCCCCGTCCACACCCAGTGGACCAGTAATTTGAGGGAGAGGGCAAGTCATTAGCCAGCTTAGAGGCACGGGTCTTCCGGCATACAGGGGTCTCGCTACCGGAGGCTACTGCAAACATGACAGTTTCCACCGGGGTCTTCACAGGGGTCTCGCTACCGGAGGCTACTGCAAACATGACAGTTTCCACCGGGGTCTTCACAGGGGTCTCGCTACCGGAGGCTACTGCAAACATGACAGTTTCCACCGGGGTCTTCACAGGGGTCTCGCTACCGGAGGCTACTGCAAACATGACAGTTTCCACCGGGGTCTTCACAGGGGTCTCGCTACCGGAGGCTACTGCAAACATGACAGTCTTCACCGGGGTCTTCACAGGGGTCTCGCTACTGGAGGCTACTGCAAACATGACAGTCTTCACCGGGCTCTTCTCAGGGGTCTCGCTACCGGAGGAAACTGGTAATATGACAGTCTTCACTGGGCTCTTCACAGGGTTCTTGACCGGTCTCTTTCCACCGGAGGCTACTGCAAGCATGACAGTCTTCATTGGGCTCTTCACAGGGTTCTTGACCGGTCTCTTCCCACCGGAGGCTACTGCAAGCATGACAGTCTTCACCGGGCTCCTCACAGGGGTCTCGCTACCGGAGGTTACTGGGGACTGCATGACAGTCTTCACCGGGCTCTTCACAGGGGTATTGCTGCCTGAGGCTACTGTGTTTATGCCGGAGGTATTTGGGATTGCCAGGCCCTTAAATCGTATACATTCGTCCTCTTCCTCAAGAACAGCAGCACTCTGCTTCCTGGGTTTTAGCTCCTTTTTCAGCCTGGAGCGCAGGGTCTTCACCTCATCATTGAGGGCATCCTTCTGAGCCCTCAATGCCACATTTTCCAGCATCACCTGCCTGCAGTCCTCGTTGTCACACTCGGTATGTGGGGAGAAGGGTGGAGGGTGCCCGGGGTATTCCTCCTCATTGTCTATATCCAATGATGTAGCCATTCCAATGATGGGGTTAGTCTCACGGAGGTCATGGAGCAACTGCAGTGCCACACTATGCTTCAGCCTTGCCATGACCTGATGTGCCTTATGTCGGGACAACTCAGGGTGGTCATGTTTTACATGACGGTCCAGTCTCTTCCCAGCGTACGAACACCCAGCGATGGGACAGGGTTTGGTCCGAACATTTATCCTTCCACTGGCTATTTTCAGGAGGATTCCCCTCTCCTCCAAGTTCCGCACTGCATGCTTGTGCTTAAGGTGTTTGTTCAATGCCAGATAGAAGAGTCTGCACACCGGGCATTCAGATGACATCCTTCCTGAAACACACATAATGATTTTGATCAAAATTATGTTATAGTTCTCCGTTTATATGCGTTAGCGTGAGCGGTGGTTGCGACACTGGGTCCGATGCATCAATTCATGGTGCATGGACGAAGGGAAGTATTGGGTTACCACCGGGTCAGATGGTCCCACTTCCGCACCAACGCGGGGCTGGTGATGGCAACATTGGGTCCGATGCATCAATACATGGTGCCCCGACCATGAGAGGGTTTGGGGTACCCCGGAACCAGGCACCACCCCAGCAGGAAACGGGTTGTATGGTCAAAGGAGGAAAGAGTGATAGAACCGGGGTAAAGCAAAGAAAGTGTCCGACAATAGTGACTTGTGAGGCGGCCAGAGAGTCTGTCATATCTCGGTCCTATCCTCCAGGCAACGCTGTGGCCAAAACTGGGCTAAAAACTAAAAAAACTAAAAAATATTTCATCCAGGGAAATTTGGGTGAAAATGAAAAAAAAGTACCCCAAAATAGTCCTTCATTAGCCAGCAGCAGTCCCCTGTCGACTCATGTGACATTCCTCCAGGGTTACATAGAACCAGGGTGTGGGCTCCGAGCCATCTCCGAGACATCTCTAGTCCGTGTTGATAATGGGGGAAATGTACCCCAAAATAGTCCTTCATTAGCCAGCAGCAGTCCCCTGTCGACTCATGTGACATTCCTCCAGGGTTACATAGAACCAGGGTGTGGGCTCCGAGCCATCTCCGAGACATCTCTAGTCCGTGTTGATAATGGGGGAAATGTACCCCAAAATAGTGCATCATGACTCAGCAATCATCACACTCAACTTTGGTGAGAACCGGGCAAAGGGGTCAAAATCCGTCAATGTGGGGGGGTGAAACGGCTGTAAGCGAGCCCTGGGGGGGGCACCCGGGACCGGGCAGTGCCCCCGGCAGAAGGAACCGGGTCAAACGGGCCAAAACAGGGAAAAAAAATAAAAATAAAAAGAACCAGGCAAAAGGGGGGAAAATGGGAAAAAAGTGTCCGAAAATAGTGCCTCATGACCCCGCAGGAGTCCCCCGCGGACTCCCCTGACATTCCTCCATGGTCGAAATCATCCAACTCAACTTTGGTGAGAACCGGGAAAAGGGGTCAAAATGTAAAAATTGTACCCCAAAATAGTGCCTCATGACCCCGCAGGAGTCCCCCGCGGACTCCCCTGACATTCCTCCATGGTCGAAATCATCCAACTCAACTTTGGTGATAACCGGGCAAAGGGGTCAAAATGTAAAAATTATACCCCAAAATAGTGCCTCAAAATCGGGTAGAGTCACCTGCAAAGTGCCCTCGCATTCCTCCATGGCTCAAAATGTCGAACTTAAACTATTTGGAGAACCAGAGAAATGTAAAAAATACGCCCCAAAATAGTGCCTCAAAATCGGGTAGAGTCACCTGCAAAGTGCCCTCGCATTCCTCCATGGCTCAAAATGTCGAACTTAAACTATTTGGAGAACCAGAGAAATGTAAAAAATACGCCCCAAAATAGTGTCTCATAATCGGGTAGAGTCACCTGCAAAGTGCCCTCGCATTCCTCCATGTCAAACTTTAAGTATTGAGAGAACCAGGCTGGGGGGTCCTTGAGGCACAAAATTAGGCCCACTCAAAGTGCTTGGTGAGCGGATACATTCTTCCATGATTTGCAACAGCCGTTATTTTTCTGAGTGCACCCAAAAACTGGGTTTCCGATTTCGTGCAGACGGTAGTTTGAAAAGTATGGATGAATCTTTTTAACAGAGAAGTGGAAATGAAGCCCAGGGACTTTTTCCCCTTCTCCGTTGTACCAACCATCGGAGAAGGGGAAAAATCGGCCCTGAAGCGCCAATAGTCTGGCCCCTTCTCCCGTTGGCACTCTGTCATTTTTTTGACAATTTTTCAAAACTTCATTTTTGATTATTTTAAGTTATAATTAAGCGTTTTCTTCAATTTTTTTTGCTTTCCACGGGTGGGGGCGCCTGGCAGGCCGCCTATGAGCACCCAAATTCGGCCTGGATCATCCAGGATTTGTGGGCTAAGCTCCATAAACTGACTAAATCACCCAGAGAGGTCACCTTTCTAGCCCAAATATATATAATACAAATACATTTAAATAGTAAAAGGTGCACTTGTGCTCTGCATTACCCGGAATTTTATTTTCATAGCCCCATGATAGTGATTAAAAATCATTTTCATGGGAAAAAGTGTTAAAAACGCCTGATTAAATTATATGCAGGACCCCAGTGAGCTCCAGACTATGTGCATTGTGTTGGGGAACCATATAAATGATAGAATAAATGCATTTAAATGCAAAAATAATGATTTAAAATCATTTTAGGGGGACAATTGTGGAGAGGAGCCTGAAAATGACTCTGCAGCAGGCTGCCTATGAGCACCCAAATTCGGCCTTCTTCACGGAACCACGACCCCTTCTGTGGAGGGTATTCTCGTGCCCCTGGTGAGCACACAATGACCCAGGAAAGAGTCTTCAAAACACAGGTAAAACTGTGTTAAACAGTGGGGTAACATGTTTGAAATGACAGCACACTGCTGCTTGTTGGCAGCCTGACTCACTTGACTTGTCTCACACACACCCAGGGGGGGAGAAAGAGGACACATTGACCCAGGAAAGAGTCTTCAAAACACAGGTAAAACTGTGTTAAACAGTGGGGTAACATGTTTGAAATGACAGCACACTGCTGCTTGTTGGCAGCCTGACTCACTTGACTTGTCTCACACACACCCAGGGGGGGAGAAAGAGGACACATTGACCCAGGAAAGAGTCTTCAAAACACAGGTAAAACTGTGTTAAACAGTGGGGTAACATGTTTGAAATGACAGCACACTGCTGCTTGTTGGCAGCCTGACTCACTTGACTTGTCTCACACACACCCAGGGGGGGAGAAAGAGGACACATTGACCCAGGAAAGAGTCTTCAAAACACAGGTAAAACTGTGTTAAACAGTGGGGTAACATGTTTGAAATGACAGCACACTGCTGCTTGTTGGCAGCCTGACTCACTTGACTTGTCTCACACACACCCAGGGGGGGAGAAAGAGGACACATTGACCCAGGAAAGAGTCTTCAAAACACAGGTAAAACTGTGTTAAACAGTGGGGTAACATGTTTGAAATGACAGCACACTGCTGCTTGTTGGCAGCCTGACTCACTTGACTTGTCTCACACACACCCAGGGGGGGAGAAAGAGGACACATTGACCCAGGAAAGAGTCTTCAAAACACAGGTAAAACTGTGTTAAACAGTGGGGTAACATGTTTGAAATGACAGCACACTGCTGCTTGTTGGCAGGTAAACATTGTTTAATTGTTTAAGTGTTTTTAAATGTATGGAACAGTGTTTTGTCTCTTTCAAAACTCTCCCGTCATTGGCCGGATACATGGGGACGATTTTATATTCACTATGACCGTTACTATTCCAGTGAGACGAAGTACGTCCGGTGACAGGAGTGATCCCATGTTAATTTTGTCCAAAAACCAGAGCATTCCCTTATCACTATAAGAGGTGATATGTTTTTATTGTGTTGTGCAGAGAATCTTTTTTGTGACTTCTTCTTCTCGACTGACTTTGTTACCTTTCCGGGACAGGACACAGTTTGATGGCAGTCACTCGCAGCAGCCGCCCCTCTCTCTTCCTGCTGTGTATTCAACAGGTGCTTTCTTTCTAAAGCTGATGACCGGTATGTGAGACCTATTCAGTGTTTCATTGAAGGTTTTTTTTTTAAGTGTGCATGTAGTATGTGGTGGATGAAGTAATCACACGCTTTACCTCAAGGACCAGTGTGTAGGATATAGTGGCATCTAGCAGTGATGTTGCAGATTTTAACGGAAAACCCCTCCCCTCTCAATTTCCAGGCACGTTGGAGAACTGGAGTTTTTTTTAAATATATCATTTATGTATCTTTTTAAAGGAATCGCCCACTAAAGACAATGTGTACATTAATTCCTTACGTTGAATTCTCAAATAAAACATAAACAGTGTAGTATTTTTTTTTAGTAGACTACACTACTGGATAAATGGGTCTTTTTTCCTGCACAAGTTTTGTAAGACATTGTCAATGGATGTTTTGCTTTTCTTAAATGCGACCACCATTTGAATAAGAAAAAAACCCACCTGGCATTGTTTAATACAAAATGAACATTTATATGTGAAGTATTCCTTATTTATAAGTTAGAGCATTTTTTCAACCAATAAAGAAACACTCAATCACAGTTTCAAAACTCATTACAGAATCACCAAATTCAAAGTTACATGGTTAAATATAATTGATTATACATTTAAATCTACCTAACTTTATGAGTTAAGTCAGGCAATTTTTGGGGGAAAACAATATATAACTGAGTATAAGCAGAAACACAGAAATATGTTGACTTCAATTACGGTAAGTGACGCTTGTGTTTAATTGTAGAGGACTGGACAGGAGAGACGCTCACCAGTGTCTTCTACACCGGAGACCTCCTGCCCCTCGAGGCCTCTTACAGCAGTTCTGATGCGGGATACAGAAGCCTGTTTATCGACGGCTGTGTCGCCGCTCTGTCTCCTGACCCGAGATCAGCCCCCAGATACTATTTTATCGAAAACCATGGGTAAGAGAAGCTCAGAATACAGTATGATACTGATAATTGGCTCTTAAATTGCATTCAAATTTTATTTTCGTCAGGTGCTTCAATGATGCCAAAGAGGAAGGATCAAATGCACTTTTCAATCCCAGAACAAGATCTTCTTCTCTTCAGCTGCAGCTCGATGCCTTCCTGTTTCCCCAGGACACACGGAACTTAGTGAGCCACTTCTATAACCTGAATGATTTTGTCATGTTTGGAAATGCTTCGAGGTTGTATAATGACATTTCTTTGGTCTCTCTTATATTAGATTTTTATCACTTGCCAGCTGAAAGCGACCTCTGAAAAGCAGAAGAGCAGCCCCGTCAACAAAGCCTGCAATTATATAAATTCAAGGTGCTTTTATTACTTACTTTGTGAATTGTTGCTCCTTACTGTAATATTGCAAAAGGTTTGTCAGTGTATCATTTACAAAGGCTCATCAGGTTAACAATTCTTTATAAGGTAAAACTGGTTCAAATGTTTGCTATTAAAGGTGGGGTAGGTAAGTTTGAGAAACCGGCTCGAGATACACTTTTTGTTATATTCCATGGAATGCTCTTAAAATATTCATTGCTATCGGGATGTTAAGTGCTTTGACAAAAAAATCCATAAAAAAATGTCATCTGTGGAAGCCGTAATACTGTAAAAAGCACGACCATTCATTTTAGCCGGCTCGGCTAAAATAACTGGATGGCCTACCTGCCTGTCAGCCTTCCATCTGTGCACAAACTTATCTCGTGCCCTCATTGGTCATGTGCGTGTTCGTGTGTGTTGGAGGAGGGGCTCTGTAAGGAAGTGGCAGATTTTTTTCCGGCTGTGTACTTTCAAATTCTAGCGCACTCGAGCTGGTTTCTCCAAAATTACCTACCCCACCTTTAATATTTCTTGCTGCTTAAGTAATCAAGTTACTTAATTAAGGAAACATGTAAATATAAGGATAAATACTTTCTAAAATGAATTTTCCATGCTGTCTCTGTACAGCCAGATCAATGTAACAGTGATGCTTACCTCAGCATTTGGACTGAAACAGTACACATGTGAGAGGAATGTGCTAAATGTCAGCTTTAAGAATATTTTAGAATGTTGACGGTGCCCATGGAGTATATGTATACAAATAAATGGCTATTATTTCAACATTGGATTTGAGTGTAAATGCCCTCAACTCAAAGCTAAAGGAAAACAATGATTGTTTCTGTATACTAATCATCAGATGGATAAATGTCGATGGCAGTGATGTGTGTCGATGTTGCGACGATACATGCTCGAGCAACTCTCCCACCGGTCAAACAAACCTCGGATGTCTGATCCCTGAAGGTAAACTGTAAATCCTACAGTTTTATAACTTTCATAATCTGTGATCTGTCTGTGAAAACTGTCCCAACTAAATATTATTTGACTCTCACTTTCATTTTTATTCATGTTTCAGATTTGGTGGCACGTGAAACTGTTACTCTGGGCCCTTTGATGGTTTTGCCATACAAGTAGGCGAAGCATAACAATCCAGACAATAAAGGATTAAATATTTGTCTATCAATCTCACCCTCCCTGACCAAACTTCAGCGTAATACTTATAGCTTAATACTAGCAAAACTATTATTTTAATGATTGTTTAGTAAGGAATGTTTATACAACATAAACATTAAAGAAACAAGAATGTTTAGTCTTTACTGTTAATACCTAACATGGCTCTAAACAAAGCCACACAACTGGTCTGATGAAACATCCCCGTAAATAAAAACAGATTACACTGAATGAACATTAAATGTTGCTGTCAGGATAGACACGTATCAGTGTTTGAAAGAGGAAAATAAAATGTGAATTTCTCTTACCTTCAAAAAGCTGAATGAAAATAAGAATGCATGCGAAGCTCGTCTTCATGGCCTTTTCAGTTATGAACTCACTAATAAATACTAAAGTTGACTCGCATTGTACTCTTTCCTTCAGTCTTTGTGAGGTTTTGTGGACAGCCTCACTTTATTTATTGTTCTTCACCTCTGAGCAGGAAGGGGAAATCAAAGCAAGAACAGCCGTTGAAACGCTGCAGTTGGTTTTGCACACACTGATGTTTAACTGAATTTGAAATAAAACTCAGGATGTTATGCATCAGACTTTAAAACTTGTATCCACTGGATTAACACCACTAATGTGTACAGTTACGCAAACAAACCCTTCTCAAAAAGTTTTTCTCAGTGGTTGTTAGCAATATAAACATTGCTCCCCATAAAGTAGTTTATATATATAACACTTTTTTATAGTATCCTAGTAAGTCTTCTTATAGCGATCCTGTTATTGATATTATCAAGTGAGAAAAGAAGATATATCACTTTCATGTTGTATCACCGGATATGTCTGTTGTCTGCAAGATGAGTTTGAAAGTGCAGGTCAGGAGGTGAGTCATCAGCAGCAAAGGGGTGGATATATATTATAAGTTATTGTCCTGTAAGCATGTACGCCGGCACAGTCCGATTCAGAAGCTCTCATAAATAATAATAAATATATATTTTTATTTCAAAAAAAGTGCTATTCACATACAAGACAATACAATGTGTCCAAATATAAAGGAGATAATGATAGGAAAGAGTGAAAGAGGTTAGGTCAATAACCCTTGATAAGAATGGGTTCGCCCGATATGTCAGTGGTTAGAGCTGGCAGCCCATATGCAGTCACCGCTGCCTAGTAAACCAGTTTGAATCCTGAACCAGCCGAACATTTCTGGCATGTCCTCCCCTCTGTCTCCCCCTTTCAACTCTAACATCTCCAATAACGGCCCTCTGGACCAAAAAAAACTAAAAAGTATGAACGGAAAAACAAAATGGATCAATCTAAAATAACATAAAATATTTAGGCAACAGTACAGGGTGAACCTCTGAAATGGATAATTAAGAATAGTTTTGAACTTTATATTTTGTAAGTCATTTTAAATTAGTTGGGATGATTTTAAGTATTTGGAGGTTTTTTCAATACTTTCTTTCTTTGAAATGCATGGATTGATTTTTACATGACATGTCTTATGTTTCAAACATTTAAATCAAATTGTATTTATGTAGCTCAAAATCACAAGTTTTAAATTTGTATTTGATTTGATTTGATTTACAGTCAGTACAGATCAACAAAACATGAATGATAGTTTAAAAACATAATAAAATGACACCATATACCACAATAATAATGTGATAGTGTTTACAAATTAAGGATCCAGGGGGATGTCAAAATGCTTCCTGCATGGTTTTCATGAACTGCAACACTAACATTTTATTTAAAATCCAAAGTAACAAGCAATGAAACAAATATATGCACATTTTAAACATGTGAAAACACCCTCTCTCTCAATCAGCGTCATGTCTTGAGTTCAGAGTGTGCAGCCAATTAAGCTGATGGGTGTCTGATTGGACGCAGGTGTGCTGCTCTGATGAGGATAATGATCGGCTAGAGTTTAAAAAGATCCACCGCTCACACTGAACCATACTGTGAGTCAGTCAGGAAGACAGAGAGCAGCCGACCAGTTTCCTGTCATCAGTTTCACTTATGGAGGCCTTTCATTTTCAGGTTATCCTCCTTGTAGGACTCTGTGTAAGCTCCTCTTTTGCTTTCACGCCCACACGCTACACACAAGATTCTTCATTCCAGAGCCTTGCGAACACAGGCAGGTCAGAAATCGGGCAGAATTCTCCGGCTGAGGAACCGCAGCAGGTGAATACCATCAGAGTGACCTGTCATCCAGACTCTTTGGAGATTGTTATCAAAGCCGACATGTTTGCGGTTGGAGTTCCTGTTGATGGAGACGAGATACGCCTTGGAGTAGAGAACAACAACCAGTACTGCAGAGCTACAGCGTCTTCAGCAGATGAGTACAGTATCAGTGTTGGACTTGTGGAGTGCGGCACCAGACACTGGGTAACTTTTAAATATATTTCATTTCAAATATGATTAATTATAGCTTCTAGTTTTAAACACATCTACTCTCCACAGGTAACTGAGGACTCTCTGATCTACACAAACCTCCTCATATACTCTCCTGAGGCCTCTCCATATGGTGTTGTTCGAATGGAGGAGGCTGTAATTCCAATTGAATGTCATTACGAAAGGTCTTTGTCTCTTTTTGTTTTTAAAGCTCACATTGTAAAAATCTTTGAATGATGTCGGTCTTTTTTTAAATGCATGTTTTCTGTTTCTTAGGAAGTACAGTTTGTCCAGTTCTTCACTCATGCCTACCTGGATCCCCTTCATGTCGACCCAGGCTGCAGTGGAAATGTTTGAGTTTAACTTGAGAATCATGACAAGTGGGTTTTGGTAATTTTCTCATGTTATGAGTTGTCATGTCTCTATTTGCACTTAGTACTTTTTTCTGTCCGTGTGCAGGTGACTGGCAGTACAAAAGAAGCTCTAATGTGTTTCATCTCGGTGAGCCCATCAGCATCGAGGCCTCGGTCAGACTTGGGCATCACATGGGGCTCCGAGTGTTTGTGAGCAGCTGCGTGGCTACACTGAGCCCTGACATGCACTCTCGCCCCAGGCATGCCTTCATTGAAAATGGGTAAGGCTGCAAATTGCTAAATGGCAAAAAGTAAAGTCTTTTTCTGACCCTAGAGGGAGCTGTTTAATGTGTAAGGCTCTTCAAGTGGTTTAATTCAGACACGAGCAATGCTGACTCGAGTGACAGGTTAATAAAAGATCAGTCCTTTAGTGGCGTCTTCAAGTTAGCCATTAGCTAAGGCTAGCTGCAGTTTGCTTTTAATCTTTGGTATTCTAGTTCTTCCTTTCTGTACCACTATTGGCAAATGCACAGGTCAGATTTGTGCAGTTCTGACTCTAAATAACTACTTCCAGAACTTGCCTATATGACTAGAAATGTTAGTGGTGCATTGTGGGTAATGTAGACTCTGGTTATAGTAGTCAATGAGTGCTAATTTAGTGTTGCTCTTTTTGTTTTTCCTCATAGGTGCTTTGTTGACTCTCAGCTTCCAGGCTCAAGGTCTCAATTCTTAGCCAGGACACAGGATGACAAGCTCCACATGTCCATTGATGCCTTCAGATTTTATAATGAGGACCGAGGGGAGGTGAGGCTCTATTAAATTGCCTTACACATGATTGTGTGTGCATGTTTCCCAACACCTGCTTTTCTCATAGCTCTACATCACATGTCACCTGAATGCTGTGGCAATAAATAACGCAGATGCACCAAACAAGGCGTGCACTTTTGTGAATGGAAGGCAAGTGAGATCCTAAAATATTTCAAATTACACACAAAAAACAAAGTATTGGTGCTGAATGTTTTTTTTATTCATCAGATGGAGGTCCGCTGATGGTAATGACTACTTATGTGGGCAATGCAAAAGACCAATTGGAGGTGAGCAAACTCCCAGTAAGCCCAGCAGCCCGAGCAAGTTTAGGCCTCGAGGGTTTGTGAAGCCAGAAGAGCGTGAACCCCTCTGGAGGAGCGGACTGAAGACCAGTCCAGGTGGGGAGCTTGTAGAAACTTGTATGATGAATATTGGCTGCAGATGTCGTCATAATGATCAATTGTTTGTGACTCATGTTTTTGCATAGGTTTTAGACATGATGATGGCTGGGTAACTGAATTAACATGCATTGTGCTGGTTTGTGTTAGTGTGGGAACATCAGGCCAGAGTGGGTCCGATGATGGTCTTGCCAACCAAGCAGAAAAGCCGGCCCATACCTGCAGAGGAGCGTTCTTCCATTCTTGATCAAATCGGCAGATCTACAATGTAGGGCAGCCAGTGGAGTGGAATAAACGGAGTTGGTAAGTCAATACCGGTATTGAATTATTCTTTGTTCATTTGAAGCCTTTAACAATCTCTAAATTGAGATTAAAATGGCCCATAATGAAATCTTAATGTTGAATTGTTTTTCTGTCAAAGATCAGAGGAAAGGACTGCTTCCTGATTCATCATTGACCCAAAACCAGGTGGACTTTCTGATTTTAGCTTCTGAGCAGAATGAAGACAAAAGTGGAACAGAAAAAGGTAAAATGTGAAAAGTCTTAACCCTTTTTTTAAAAATGTTCTACAATTCACCTTTTACATTAACACATTTATTCTGCGACTACAGATGAAGATGCTGAGGAAGTTCCTGAACTTCTAGAAGAAACCTCTCCTGAGGCCCACCTGCAGTTGAAGGCAGTAGTGCTGAACAGTACCAACACAGCGGCGCTCGATGAAGTCTTCCTAACTGCTGCGGTTAATGTGGCTGTGCCCCCACTGTCCAACACCACTGCAACAGAATCTGACCTTTCTGAAACAATGGACTCAAAGAGATAATAAATTATTCAAATTTTAATTTGTTTGCTTTTTAATGTTGCAATACACAAGGAAAACTGATGACCTGCTCACAGCTAAAAACAATTAACAATTGTTTCCTAATTAGCCAAAGTATTCCATATAACGGTAAAGATTTAGGGGGGACCCAAAATTGCAATTTGACATCCATGTTCCATGTCTTTTCTTGTGCTTGTCTGATGCTAAAAATGGTACTACAACATGGCATTTATTTTCTGGGGTGTCATTTGCTTTAGTTGCAACAGCTGTATAAAGGTGATGTATTGGAGGTCAGCCAGTTTATATTTGAACTTCAGTTGCTGCAACAAAGCCTTTGTACATGAGTAGCCCCTTTTTTTTAAAAGGGGAGTTACCATGGGGGCCCTGGCAATATAATGACCTGAACATTAAGATATAAACATGGTCTCATAACTTTGTGTCCAGGCCCATAGGGTTTTTTGACTGGAGACTGAATTCTAATAGAGTACCCAGACCTCTACTAGGGTAGTCAATATGTTTTAGAGGTACAATTTGATGGTTTACAAAGTCCTGAGTTACTTTAGCTTAGCAAATCTATTCACTCCTGTTTTTGGGGACTGATTTAAAAAAAAAAAAAATTGTGACAATATGAATTTTTAGATAAGTATAGTTACATATGCCATTATTTCAAGGCATCTGGGGGAAAAAACTGAAGCAAGATTTTAAAATATTGGCTCAATGTAATGGTAGCCATGACAACACACATTTGTTTTTTTGACTAAAAGGCCATGTGGAAGATGAAACTTCCTGGGATGTTTTTTGGTCCCTGCAGCAAAGTGCCTGTTGGTATTCAAAGCCAGAA